TTCTTGAACTTTCCTGGATATTCATTGACTCCATTCATCGCTCAGATCCAAGCAAATGTTACAAAGCGACTTCACAAATTCCGCAACAGATCTCCCCTTTTTAAAAGACGCAAAGCGAAATTCCGCGAACAACATACTACTCGCGTGCCCCTCCATCAGTAGTATCACCGTTACACAGGTAGTGTGTTCCATTCCACAAATGCCTATATTGTATCCATCACCTTAGTTCAAAGTCTCGTGAAATGCCTCCGTAGAATATTACGGAGTGACCTGTGATGAAGGCTTCCGCGTTCGGACAACGTGGTGACCAATACAGTTCCGAATTTCGCACCGCACGTTAGCATTCACGTTTCCACTGCCCTACGTTAATCCTGCCTTCAGTCTCATGTGCTTCAGAGTTGAGTAAATGGCTGTCATTACAACCTGAGCTGCTAATATCGTCCTCAGGTGTTGCATGTTTGTGCTATCGGGAAAGCTGTGACTGCCTTATTTTATCTGAACCTTGTGTGTGTATACGTGAATTGAATCAGCATCCAGGCCGCTCTTGGTCATGCCAACTCAATGTTCAGCATACTGTACCAAGCAGTTCGTCTGTCTTCATCACCCGCCTCGACCCACCATAGTCCCTTTCTAATTGCTTATCGATCATTCTTAGCGTTCTGTCTTTTCCTTGAGCATCAGCTCGTGTTGTGTGACGGTCAACAGGCCGTTTCTATCATATTAATTAGCCGTCATTAGTCAGGTGTTGTAGGACACTTTGCAAGCAGTACACAGGCTTTTATCATTAGATTAATCAACTTCGTTTCACGCTGCATTGTTGATATGACTGGAGTACTCAGTCTATTTTCAAGAGACTTGGTTTCGAGGAGACTGGAATGTCTGGCATTTTCGCAGTCAATACTACCCATTACCGATCTTGGCCACTGGGTTTCTTCGGTGTTTAGGTGTGGAACATCTAGTTTGCAGTTCGGCAAGCCTCTTTGTTACGCAGGTCCAGTTGTCAGTCAGACTTTGCTCTATTAAGTCTATGCTTCACAAGCTTTTAACGTGCGCCATCGCGAACATACATTACCGATCGCACTAAGCACTATGCAAATCAAGCCGTATTCTGTTTCTTCATCGGCAGTGCGTGTTCTGTTAATTTATAACGGCTAGTCTCTCGTGTTCTCGTCATGGATGTATCCTGTTTTATGTCCATCGGTTGTCGTCTTCCACAGGGTTCCCCGTGAGACTACCGTGTCTGATTCCAAAGGTTCCTGGGTATTTATTTGCCTGGACTATCTTTTGAATGTCGTTAGATGCCTAGGTATCAGCCTGTTTGTGTTGCCCCTAAAACATCTTGTGAACCACGCTTGGCTCATATTAGAATAGTATGGGGTGACATGGCTCAAGTGGTTAGAGCGCAAATTTGCTGACCGAAACGTCCGTGTTTCGAGTCCGACCTCTACCTCTCGACTTCCCCTGTCTAGGCTTGGGCAACCTGGCAGAATCCAAGCCCTTATGCCTCCTTTGGGTAGCATGACAGTTAGGCACCGAAAGGGTGTTACAGCTGAACGATTAGAATAGTGTTGTATAGTCCGTACAGTCAACGGATATCCACTCCAATTATCAGTGTTATCACCACCTCGTCAAGCTTCGTGAATCTGATTGAATTCTCCGCGTGTGTTGCGTCCTACCACTACCGGTACTTTGTATTCAGATGTCTGTATGTAAGTTCATCTGATCACCAATGTTCGTTCGTTCTGTTTGATGAAGCAGAGTCCCATCCCATTGCCTAATCGTAATGAGGAGGCCTCCGAGAGTGTAAGCCCCTCAGTAGATAACTACTCGAATCTAATGACGAAGCCCCTTTTTGGTTCCATTGCATAATATAACAGGCCTTTCAAGCCTGTGGCATCGGAATCACAAGAAGTCTGTTTGTTGCCGCAATGTTATTCGAGATTTGGAGTAAAATGCCGAATCAATTTAAACAATTTCCGAAATAAGTTTTTGGTAACAATTTGTGGGCAGTTAGTTTGCATCCGAAACGTGCTGCCGGGACGCGCATTTCCTCTGTCGACCTGGCACAAGACATGGTCAGGGTGGATACAGTTTTCTGGCCGAATTAGTTGATGAATGAACGGCAAGTTACCCAACAACATGAATGTCTGGACACGCCTTCATGCTCCTACTCGTCAACGTAATGAGCTAACCGGATTATTTACCCCCCTCGCTCTCCAAACCCAGATCAACTACTTCCTTGAATTATGGGAAGGGAAACCGATTTACCACTATTGCTGAAAAAACGGAAACCGCGGAAGTGTAGACGCACACCGACTCAATTATTCGAGTCGCTCAGTTTTTCTTTATGGGGTTATTTTTAGCCAAACCGTGGTATACGCTTCTAACATGCTCACATCTTGCACAACAGTGTTCCAGCTTTGTCTCTCGCACACACTCCGGAACTTCCAGTTTCTGATTTATGTCATCACTAGAGCTCTGAGACTCATCTCGCTTCTATTCCATTGTTAAGTTTAATCGGTTTGATATCATGGCTTTCATGCTCGAAAGTTCGGCTAATTCAGTATAGCCTGCTGGAAAACTACAAGTTGATATTGGTTTTGGAAGACGGAAGAAAGCCAATAGCCTCTATAGTAAAAAGAGAACAAATGTGCACGCATCCGATTGACTAGAAGCACGCCACTTTTTGCGAGGGTACCGACTATTGACAATAATGGAATATGAGATGAAAGTCCCATCTGCCATCTTCCACTTAGTACAGAGTTCTCACGAACGCTCACCCTACTTCACAGTTCTGCCCCTAATCTTCACACGCGATTCGTCGGATTGGTTGGGCTGAATGGTGTAATGTGTGTACTATGGGATAAGTCTCTGTACAAACTAACCTGGTAGAACAGAAGGTTGTCATTTTCGAATAGGACCTCTGGATTTTATCTGGTTCGTTTTTTGGTCCCCCATAAGGAGTTTTGCCTCTTACATGGTCACATTCAGGAATGCAAATCAGTAAACGAAGCAATTTTGAAGCTGAACGAGCTTAAACCTGGTGGTGGAGTGAACTGTCTGTCTATACACGGGATAGATCCATCGTGACATATGTTGTCTTCAGGAATCGAGGTCAACCCTGTTCATCTTGATTGCAACTTTACCTTTCCGAAAGCTACCGGTCGATTGTCGTATTTCTTCGTTCTTTATCTGTTGGATCAGGGCTTCACTGGAGGTCCCACCTCTCCTTAACGAGTATGTATTTACGTTTTCACTGGCGTACCCCCTGGTCCGTCTGACTTAACTATTTTAAACTCTCTCTGCATTTGTTCGTAAGCTTTCAAACTTATGGGCCTGTGATTATCGTTGTCTAATCTAGCTGTTGTCTGTGGGGTCTATTCCGCGTCATGGAAATCGATTGATCTTGAAGTTCAACACGCTTGGGTAACACGTTAGTTCTATCTTTAGAGTGGCACATGAGATTTGCGTGTCGATGCTCATGTTCTTACTGGTGGCGTCGTGGGATATTTTTTCATTCGTTTTGATCACGTATTCTGTGTCGACACTCTCCAAACCTGTGACTTGACTTCAAGCCAAAATCTACGCAATGACCTAATACCCTTAGTTCTTCACTGTTAGTATCGATCATCGGTCTTGTTTCGACTCTATCGCGCTACTCATCTACCTGTTTTCACTAACCAGCATGTGTTGTATGAAACGTTACGTTGTTTCTGTGGTGCCTATGGTTGCGTGGGACGTGTCAGTAGGTTGCACTCTGATTTATTCTTTCCAGCTTTTTCATTTATGCAGTCAGAAGAGGGGGGATTGGGGTTTTTTCCTCGTTCCCGAAAACAACAACCATCCTTTCGGTACGAATTCATGCTGCGTTGCATGCACCCGTGTCCGTGATGATGTCATTTAGATTTACTCCGAGGTAGTTATTTAATTGCGTACGGTTCACTTGTGTCGATTCATTCGATGTTCTCGAGCGTGCAATTTGGTGCCATTTGGTCTCAGTTCTTTTAGTGAGTAATCGCGGATTATAAGATATCAGACATCATCAGCCATCTACATCTTTCGTGCGGTTTGTGTTGCTTATATATAGAGTTGCATGGCAGCTATGCGCCGAAAAGATTCCACAGCTGAACCGTTGTCACTAGTTTTTTTTATCAATAATTACATGTCATCGCTCAGTTTTATGAATGATTGCCGGTCTATCGCAGCTTCGTCCATTGACTATCATGTTGTTCTTGTCTGTCATCACGAACGTTAATCTGTCTACTGTTTCTCCCTTTCCCTCTCTCCCCTTCCCTGTGTGCAAATAACATTTATTTATCTAGAAAAAGATCATAATTGGTTGTGTGGTTGGTGGTGTAATATTGTTGTTACTCATCATTCTGATTTCTAGCCTGGTGCCCCGCTGATTGACACTCTCTATCTGTTTTATTCTTATCACTCCGATCGATTGTGTACACGGGGCTTAGTGTATAACCACACGATTGCGTCCCTTTTGACTAGACCGCAAACATCCCACTACACCACATCATTATCCTTTGTTTCATAGTTTCAACCCATCAGTGCTAACCCGATTAGGTTGAGACTAAACAATAGGGCCCAACTACCTATTTCTACTTCTTGTTCCTAAATACACGTGTTAACCCCTCTCTCTATATCCTCCCAGATTTTGTGATATTCCGCTCCGATGACATTACCATCCATGTGTTTGCTGTTTCGTTCATCTGCCTATTTCATTTGACCAATTTTTTGTTTCCATTGACATCAGTTTTCTAATTCGTCCACCCGTACCCTTGATACATTTCAACAGAGCTTTCCGATTCTAACCTTGTTTGATATTGACCTTATGGAAACATTGTTTTGCTCACCAAATAGCCGTATCACCAGTCCTTTCGACCCGGTACTTATTGTTGTGCATGTCTTGTTGTAGTTCTTCCCGCCTTTTGCAGTCAGCCACTGGGAATTTGGCTGTGATCTTGCGGTTTTATTTTATTTCGAGTAAAGCTGAATGTGAATATACGGAGCACCTCGTACAACATTTGCACTTCTCTGAAGACGCCTACTGAAGATAGGTCATTCGCCTACGCGCTGTCGCTTGGTTTACCCACCATATACCCCAACTGACCCGGTAGATGTGCCATTCGCATTCATTGTTGTTACAGTAGTTGCATCTTCTGTCCCGAGCACAGTAGGTACTCGAAAACTCATGCAAGCTCGTTGCTTCAGTCGTAACTTGCTGGTCATCGGTGGTTTAAATAAGTTCATTCCCGTGGAATATGGTATGGACTATGGTATGTTTGTTTTAGGACTGAAGAATCACTCGTGGATGGTAAAATAACATGGGTAAAACTTGTTGGCTGGGCGCTTTTGGCATCGTTCTCACGATGAAGGAGCTGCAGTCCGTTATAAACAGTTTGTCTTCAGGAGTTGGGCCAACATCAATCTGTAACTTCACACAGGTGGTATTAGAAGCTCCTGCCTTTCGGTGGCCCCATCGCTAAATCGTTTGGTATTGGTACTTGGTGCTCATGGATGGACACGTGGGCAATGGAAAGAACCATTGGGTCGACGTAGCATCACCAGCCATCTAGCACGTTCATATTTTAGAGGGAGGCTGGATATCCCCCCGAACAGAACTCGCGCATTACTGGAGCATCCTTTCATACGATTTCTTTGAAACTACCCATGGCGAAAATCGTCCCGCGATACTTTATTGCGGATATTCATAAATAGTGATGCAAACTCACTATGAAACAAATCATGCCGTAAAAGAGAAAAATAGAGGACTGTTGCCGTAGCGATTCCCAGATGCTCCGATTCAAAAGATGACCACAATGAGCATAACAACCTACTTACGATTTGAACGAATCGTCACACATACATCTGTCGGTCGACACGCAATTTTTGCTGTTTCAGGCACCGGGACAGGGGAACTAGGTGCATTAATCGAAGTCTTCTCCCTAGTACCTCTTACTTCCTCTTTTTATCGTCCAACTGAACTATTCGGTATCCTTGTTATAACCAGACGCGCACATCTATAAAAGGAACCATATCAAATGATTTTGCCGTCACAATAACACCTTAATGCCATGCGGGTGGGGTGGCCAATGCGCCATCCTGTTCAAATTTACACTACAACAGTCACCTGCAAGCTGTCCAAACCTGTCATGTATTAGTACCCGAGTCTGTAGGCCAGAACGACCACAAACTGTCCACAGTTGACATCTGATCATAATGAGAAAGAGGAACTCTCATTCACTTCTGCAGATACCAAGATGCAGTATTCCTTTCAGTCATTGCTCGTCTATGGGCCTACGTATAGTGAATTTCACTGCGGTTAATCCCAGGTGATATTCACTCGGTGAAAAAACCTCATAACACACCCTGCGTGGTGATCAACAAACTAACGACGTCTTCACAAACCGCATCTTTGACCTAGCGGATTACTCCTCGGTTTTTACATGAAGATCTCAACATTCCCACCGTCCGTATGCGTGCGCATTTCTTAGAGCGTAATATGGATAAGTCGTAGAAAAAATCCTGAAGTACAAACAGTGAATAAGTCATTCAGTTTCAAATGAGTCCCATTGTCAGTCTAGTGCTAGTCGCAAAGGAATCACTCATTTCGACCAAGGGAGCAGTGAATCTCCATCTCGGTGCCACGGCCATCCTTACATGCCGATGACTGTGGTCTCTAGTTTCCGCTAGAGTCAAACAAAGACTCTGAAATTTTGTATCGACCTTCTAATCCATCAGCGTGCACTTTTAAGTTGATTAGGGCCGTGCCTCCTGTCCTTACAAGTACAGCCAAACGTGTGTATGTATGTGACTTAGCTGCGGCCAACAATCAGGGGGACTTATTGCTGGACTGTCACGAAGAGACTGGACCTTACCGTGGTGTGACGGTTTGCGCACCTCAGCGATCCATTGAGCTATACTGGAGAGTGTCCCGCGACACTCACAGAGTCTCTCATACCAGGTTGGTCAATGGTTAGAGGTCTGACGAACACAGTCTCCTGGCCCTCCAGGTTGGGGGTTGGAACATGTGGCGACTTGTTCCGTAGAAATGCTAATGCATTTGCATTT